ATTTAATAACCTTTAATTACAAAATAATAAAGAATATAAAAAAAATAAATTCTATTAAAAGCAACAAGCTTACGTGTTATTTGTATTAATGTTCCCGTTTACATTTGACGTTTAAATGAATAAAAATATCAATAATAAAGGTATCTTTAAAAAATAGATATTAAATAAAAATTAATGACTATTTCAAATGCTAATTCTTATATTAATTGTTTCGTAATTTTATCATTCTAATACAACATAAATATGTTGTTAAATATGTATTGTAAGTATAATAATGTAACGCAAAAATTTATGCATTTTAAAAGAATTAAGAATTAAGAAAATATTTAATTTTTGTTTAATACTAATTTTTTAAATATATATTATATATCTGTATATGCATGCGTAAATAAATGCATTTAAAAAATTAATATAAAATAAAAATATATTAGTATAAAACAAAAATTAAATTCTTTATTAATTCTTAATTCTTTTAAAATACATAAATAACATAAATTTGTTATATTATTATACTAATAATATATATTTATATACATAATTTATATAAATATATTATACTAATAATATATATTTAACAACATATTTATACATCTTACTATGATAAAATAACGAAACAATTAATATAAAAGTAATTGAAATTAATTTAAATATACTAAGTTTGCAATATAAATTCTACTTATAAACTTTTTATAATATAATAACAATATAATAATGTTATAAACTAAAGGTGTAGTAGAAAGAATATAGCTTAAAGTCTCTACTTTTTATATCGATCTTATTGATCTTTTACGGAGCATTACGAAAACAAATAAAGATGCGACGAAATTTGTTACGAATTTTGCATGATTCCTCGACGTGAATTAAAAATTGCACATAAATGCAGTTTACAGCATTCGAAAGAGTGAATCTTTACCTTTAATTTGCGCACTCGTTGAGCATTTTGCGATTTTTTTTCACCGAGTTATTCAATGTTGAGCAGAAGGATCATTTTTAATTCAATGTTGAATAACTCGGTGCAAAAAAATTGCACAATGCTGGCCTGGTGCTCAAATTAAAGCTAAAGATTCACGCTTTCGAACGATGTAAACCTCATTTGCGTGCGATTTTTATTTTACTTTTTGGAACTTCGCAAACTTGGTAAAAAATTTTTAGATTTGATGCATCTTCATTTGCATCCGTGCAGCTTTGTAAAGAATCAGTAAGTAATTTAACGAATTATGGATGTCGAAAGTAGAGACTTTAAGCTTTGAAATGTCTTTTTGATCATTCCGATACGATCATTTTTGACGAAGTTACACTCTTTTGAAATTTGCCTATTTTTAATGATTAGAATGGTGCTTGAATGTGATGCTTTAATTTTGCTGTCGAGTGTATATAATTCTAATATTAATGAAATGTCATGAAATTGTAAAAACGTAATGTTTCTTTCTTTATATATATGCTTTTATAGGGAGAAGTTATATATACAGATCTTTATAGGAACAAGTTAATATAATAATAATGAATGAAAAATCTGAGATGGCAACTAAGGTTAAAGGAGGGGAAAGAGAGATTGAAGAGTAAAGAAGAAAATGGTAAGAATTGTTATAATTGTTTTTATTTTTTTAGCACTATTATGAAAACGTTTATATTATATATATATATATTGTAGGAAGCGAATATTCTAGACGGCATCGCGACGCGCGTATTGTAACGAAGCGAGAAAAAGAAAAGCGAGCGAAAAGACGAACTTCTTTTGTCACCGAGCGTTCGGACCGAGAGGCGAGCGCGACTCACGGGAGTTCAGTTGAGTTCGGTTGACGACAGGCGAACGAACGGACGTTCTTGTATCACTTTTTTTAATATACGTATCTTCTACCATTCGATATCTCCATTACACTAACCGCTTTCCCATATCTTGATTTAATATCATCTTACATTTT